TGATGCGATGCTAGCTGATGTGGCAATGTGTAATTAGGACTCTGGCAAAAAGAAAGCATTACATGTTTTTTGATCTTGCTATGTCTTCTAGAAGAAAGGAAAAGTAGTTGTGATAGCAGAAAAACCAAATATTATGTCGGTCTGTTTCTAAATCAGAGTTCAGTGAGCTTGTTTTAACAAATACCAATGACTAATACAGATGGTGGTGGTCAAACACCAGTAAACTGGCTGATCGAAAAGTATTTATTTTCTTTTACTAATGGTGAAATTGAAATGTGAAATGACTGAAACGTAATTTTCAAAAATTTCATCTTATTCTGCCATTAAATAGCAGGAGAATGAAGGATTATTTTCTGGTTTTAGTTTCTAAAATTGCCTGAGCACAAATCTATCAGCCCCCTGTGATTTTTATCTGCTCAGCTATGTTTTCCCAAGGAAAATTCCAAACTCTCTACAAGAAGCTTTCTCCAACAATTATACCAGCCTCTTACTGAGTTTCTTTTGTGTAAAAACTGGCCTCTCTGACCTATTCTGTTTCTCCAGTGCCTGACTGAAACCCCACAGAAAAGGCTTTTATTTGCTCTTGCTGAGGGGAAAGCAAGCAAGGCACTTATCTGGATGAGATAAGCCTTTGCTGGATGAGACCACTGCAGAGCCCATGGGTGATATCAGAGGCCAGCTCTTCTAAAACAGGTCACCTCTTGCCCTGCATGGCTGCTCCAAGTGCATTAACATTATCCAGGGGGAGAAGCAAGGCAGATGAACTTTGATCTCACTCTAAAACGACCACAAATCTTCCCTCAGCACAGACCTGACGTTTGCACAGCAGTGGAGATGGTGGAAGAAGTGATCTGCACCGCCAAGCAGATTTCAGTCCAGCTACAATCAGCCTCCTTCCTTTGGGTTCTTCTCTGGCTCCAAATGAGGACACCTTTGGGGGAGCTCAGCTCCTTGGATCAGCTGGGCAGGGGGATGTGCCAATATTCAAAGAGCTCTGCTAACAGCCCTGTTGGGAGACAACCACCCTGGTGCTTCTTCAGCCTATTTCAGCAACATAGTGGGGCCACGTCTTGCAGGTTTCCCTGCAAGTGGGTGAGATTAGGCTAAAGGTTAGAACTCTGATTCTGAAGGGGTCTGTGCAGGCAGATGGGCTCTCAGAAGTGGCTTTCCTTAAAAAACTAAGGTTTTGGTTCAGAAAGTCTGTGCACATATCTGGATTGATGGGAATACCCTTTAGACTGAACTTTTCATTGCATATTTATTTATCTGAGGATACAGAAAAAAGCCTTAAATCTTGTTTATTATTCCAGGTGATGCTCCAGCCTACATGAGGTAAGGCTCACATTAGGCTCAAACATTATTCACCCAGGATAATGGGTGAATAAGGGAAAGTCCTCACTACTTTTTCCTCAGCATGTATGTAAAGAAGTTTCTAAAAAAGCTCCAGTCTTGGTTTTACTTGCCTCCACTTGGATATGTACAAACCCATTCTCAGGTCTCCATATAATTTCTATTATGCCTCCTTAAAAAAATAACCACAAAAACTGTCAAGAAATTACTTGACTGATTAGAGTCCTGTTAGTAATTAGAGCAGCCTAGAATAAGTTAAACTGGAAAAAAGCTGTAGGTTCAGATTTGGAATACAATGCAGTTATGTTGTGTTCTGTGAACAATGTTATGGTCTGTGAGGAAGGAAAATGGAATATAATTTTCTTCCCTTCTGGCCCCAAAAAGAGAGCAAATTTGTAGAAAGAAATTACCTACTGAGGGCTAGGAGTTTGTTTCACATATAAGAGAAATAGCTGATATCTTCACACTCTCCATGATATAATTGCTAACTTATAAACATGAAAAATGAATTTTTCATTCTGTATAACTATGATTTTTTTTGTGAGCCGAGCCCTGCCTGCACAGTAGTCATCGGAGTAGACAAACCAGATATTTCATTCTGCCCTGTCAATATCACATTCTGATATTTGTGATTTAGCTTCTGATTATTTCCTGACCCTTCTGAAGATGAATTTATGCTCTAAACATTCACTAAAGAAATTCAGTTTGTAATTGCCAATGTATTTGAGATGAATTTGAGGGTGGGAGATGCATGGCTTGTTTGACTTCCATTGGTGGAAATGTCTGATTTGTAGTTGGTAACGGATGTTTTTTCTTACCTTGTACCTTCAATTCTCACAATGAAATCTGTTGTCACAGAGATTTTCTACATGATCTCTTGATGCAGGGAGAGCACAAATTCTTACTGTCATTTACTCTCACAAGGATGCTTCCTAGTAAGACTGCTGTAAAAACATGCTTTCATTAAGTTATTTATACTGCTTTATAAAGTAACTTTATGAAGCATTGTAAGTTACACTGGGAAACCCCTCTTTGTCCAAGGAAGAGTATTCACACAATTATCAAAGTAATCCTTCTCTGCCTGTCCAAATACCCGGCCAGGCAGAGAACTCCTGACTGAGCTCCAGCCCACACTGCACTCCAGCTCTTTGCCATCCCTAAATTTCCCCTTTTACTGTTGGTACAATGTCTCTGTCTCTCATTACTACTTCACTTACTCACAAGCTCTTCTATCTTCCTTCCATGGTCCCCTTGCCTTTCTTTTCCTCCTTCTCCTCTGTACATAGAGGGTTTTTTGTTTTATCCTCTCTGCCTCAGTCTATGTCATTCTGGGATTTAGGCTTCCCTTATTCTTATTCCTTGTCACCTCTCCTTAAAAATCTATATTCTTGATTGAATCTTATCCATCAAAATACCTGTCAAAAATTAGCATGTGATGCTCCTTCTGTCCTCAAAAAGAAACTTGTGTCAAAATGTACCCAACCTTCATCTCCAGCCAGCTGTACCTTTCCCTTCATCTCACAACTCACGTGAAACACTTCATGACTCCTGCCTGGAGTTTGTATCTGTCAGTCTCAGGTTACTTTCAGATCTCTCTTTACTGATTTGGAAAACTGTTTGTTGATGTGATTTTACAGGTTCTTCTTAAATGTCCACATTGTCTGATGCTTCTTATTGGCACTATTTGCCCTGTGGATATGAATGGTTTCTCTAACTCCACACAGGACCAGTCCTTATTCCCAAAGCTGCCTGTCATATAAAGGCTGCTGGGTGAAAGGAAAGGTCACGAATGTTCTGGCAATTTTAATGTCACATCACTCAGAACACTAAATGTGCGAGCCCAAAGGGCTGGAGTTCTGCACATTCTCAGGATCAAGACCTGAAACAACCAAAGCTACTGATGTCAGCTTTTTTTCCTTATGCAAGTGTCAGCTTGGGTTTACAAAATATATTTTTAATCTGGGCAAATTTAGATTTTCAGGAAGGAATGGGACGTAACTTACTCTTCATTGTTCTTTGCTGAAAGTCCCTGATTTATTCAAATTTCAGCATTCAAGCTAAATCCAGTATCCTGCATTAAAAAAAAAAAAAAAAAAAAAAAGTCCAGTGTTGGCTCATTGATGTGTTGGTATGCAACCAATAAGGAAGGCTGCAAGCACATAAATAATCACCCATTTAGTCAGCCTGACTTCATACCCCAAAGTGTTTTATGGACTGGGATAGACACTTCTATACTGAAATAGATACTGTTATACTTATTTACAGGTAGGGAAGTCCAGGAGGACATCAGTGACCTTACCAAAGTTCATGCAAATGTCAATGGCAGGAAACTCCTGATTGTCTTGTCTAATTCTATATCTGGGGGCTCATGCTTTAGTAATCAGCCCTGTTTTCAATTGCACTTTTTAACCTTGAGTATGAATGATTTGAATATCTTTCAGAGAGAGATATTGAGAAATACTTATATTGAAAAATCTGGTTAAATAATGTTTGCAAGATGCACAGAGACAATGGTAAAGAATGCAATAGAAAATCAGTCGATCCAGCTGCATGGACTGGCTTGTCCCCTCATACACAGCATACCACAAGAGGCCAATATGTAAAGAATAAGTCAGATGAAATGATACTGCCTAGGCCTAATTCTTTGCTCAGACCTATGGTTACAGATTGGTCCCACCTCAGTGAAAATTACACACTGATATCTGCAAATGGAAAATTTTAGAAGGCCCATTGCAACAGTGAGAGATTGATGTCTATGTTTTTCATGACATTTTATTTTAGAGCTCCAAACTATTGTGTATCAAATATCCTGCATGATCTTTGTCAAATATTTGTGAAATCATCAGCAGAAGAGAGATACTTTCTGGCCATTAACCACATGAAGACAACAGCAGCGAAATAATTAACTCATACAAAAACTGGTTATGTGCTGTGGTTAGGAAGAACCTTGAGCCTCCTCTATGTCATACAATCTTAGTTGCTCATACAGGTTCTCAGAGGCACTTAATTTTAATAGAAGTCTCAAGTTTGACAATTCTGCCATACATATAGTCTAAAGCAAATTAGGGCAACAAAAGTAAAAAGTTTCAGGAAAAAAATTGAGTCTGGTAATATCATCCATTTTTTAAGGTGAACGACTGCTCTTTGTTAAGTCTTGTTTTGTTAATTTTACATATTACTGCAAGGCACTTTTCAGTACCAGTATTGGTATATTAGTAACTTAACTGAAGCGAGGTTCTTGTTATTATTTGAGTGCAGTAGAAGTCCTTGTGAGTTTGCTTCACACCATTTACCAACATGACCGTAGAAGAAAGTTCAGTCCCTGGGCAAAGCAGCCCTGAACCCTGAGAGCCCCAGCTGCAGAGCCCGGCTGCCAGCCAGCACACAGGACCTGCTGCTGAAGCAACTCCATCGCTCACTGCTATTCACAGACAAAAATGGGAGTTAAGTGCTTCAGATCCAGTGCTTAAGTCTAAATGCTAATCAGGGCCCCTGGCTTTCTGAGACACACAAATGAGAAAGAAAAGCTGTAAATTAGGAGGTTAATTTCTTATTTACAGCAGTGCTGTAGGTTCATGGCAGAGTTACAAGTGTTAGCACCGATAAACACTTCTGTACTAACTTTTCTCTTTTCATATGTTCTTCTCTAGAAAAAGATGACAAGAGAACAAATATCTCACAGGCAGAGGTAAGTGATGTTGGTTTTTTTTAAGCATATTTATTGCTAAAATAATTATATTGTTAAAAACTCTTGGAAACTCATTAATTCACCCTGTGGATACTTTTATTTGCATTCTCATGCCATCTGCAGTAACACAGCCTTTTAAGAACCATCATTTTCAAAGCAGGGCTGAGTAAAGCTGTGTTGTGCGTTCTGCCAGCCCTCCCTTCCCCCTGTAGCAGGGAGCTGGGAGAGGCAAGCTTCCCCTCTGCCTTGCTGCTGTGCCCTGTTAAAGCACAGCAAAGCCAAGGTGACCCTGCCAGTTCACCCCACCCAAGCGTTGCTGAGGATCTGCAGGTCACTGCTGGGCACAAGCACATTCACACACCTCTCCACTCTCTCCATCGCGTGTCAAGCCTACAGCAGGCAGTGCAGTCATGTCTGCACAGGAGTTGGAAGCTGGCTCCTCTGATCTTGTTTTCTGACCTCCCCTTGCATGGTTCCTCCAATTCCCTGATCTCTTTCTCCTCTCCTCTGTTCAGAGCAGAGGGCAGCACCTTAAATAGCAGCAGGAGGTATTGATTGGTTCAAATTTGAACTCTAATACAAACATATAAAGATTTAGTGGTGTGAGGTTCACCAATTATCCCATAGTGTTTATAAATAGCTTTCTCTTTCCAAAGAAGACAATATTTTATTTATAAATGTTATAATTTTATCCATTGTGATAAGCTAAATTGATAGGATTAGCTCTACTTGTGTGAAACATGTCTCAAATGTTCCATGAAGAAATATATCTGATTAAAATTCATAGTCAATAGATACGCATTTTTAGCAAATGTTTGGGTAATGGCAACATCATTACTACAACTAGAAATTGATAAAATTAGGTGGGAAAAAAAAGCTTGGTTACACACAGTTTTACCTTAACCTTTTGGTTAGGAGTGTGATATGGTGCTTATGTCTTCCAAAGCTAGCTGAGGGTGTACTGTATGAGGCTTTCTTGTCCTTTTTGTTTAGATATAGTTCATGTTGGTATAACATTGACACCAATTTAGCTGCTTTCATTTTGCAAAAGCTGCTATGCTTTAGCACTGAATATACCCCAGTTAGCTTTTTCTAACTAAACATTGATATAATGTTGTAATGCTATTATTACTCTATGTATATTGGTATAATATAATAATGCTATTATTACTCTACATGTAATTTTACTACCATTATTTTGGAGTAGTTTTTCTTTTGTGCATAGATGCAACTCTGGGGCCACAAAAATTTTAGCTAAATACAACACTCAAATGAGGCTCAGTTAAAGGCTGAGTGATTGGCTGCTGAAATTATTGTCTTAGGTTTAATAGGACACATTGAAAAGGGAGGGATTTTCCATTTATTTGTATTAAAATGTATATATTAATATTTCAGTGCTACCTTACACATGCATATAATCCCTGATTACACAGTAATTGGAATGCTGGATAATGTAAACTTTGCAACTATTTTAATATGCGTAGACATTTATTTGCCTTATGAGAATCAATTGCACAGGCTGTTAAAAGCACAGGCTATCCTAATTTTGTGTTCAACAATATTTGTATAGAATGAAGGGTAATTTTCAGTAGTATTGGGTATGTTCTGCCTGGGAGTCATAAAGGTTATCCATTGAACACATATTTTTGTCTTAGTTATCCTGTATACATGACAGCCGGGGAGCAGCATCAGCTGTACACAATATGTTTTTCCCAGAAGCTCTGCTGGGCACTCGGATGGGTGCACACAGGGGGCTGCCACGAGCAGAAAGCTCTCTCTGTGTCTCACTGTCCCTCTCTGTTTTGTCCCCGCAGTCGCAGAGTGCCTCTCCCAAGCAGAGGAAGCAGAGCGTCTTCACCCCACCTGCCCTCAAAGGTACTGTCAGCTCTGCCCAGCCCTGGCTCGGTGGCTCCTGTGGGACCAGAGCAGAGCCACAGGGTCATGCCAGCCATCCCTGCCTCCACACTCTGCTCTTACTGCCTGGCACTGCCCCCTGCCCAATGCTGACCATCTCTCCACCCTCAGCACACAATCTTGCTGCAGCAGCAAATGTATTTGTTTGAGGGAAAAAAAAAAAGTTTTTATGCTTTGATTAGTTTGCTATAACAGATAATGCAATGCCAAACTACAAACAGAGCTTCTTGAATATGTAAATTCTATTGGTGGTGGCTCCATAGAGTTCTCTGTTTCTTATTTGAAACCACCCCCCCATATTCTGCTTCTCATTTCAAGGCAGCTGTGAAAAGGAGAACGAAAACCATGGTCTTGGTATGTGACAATAGGGTGTGTGAAGACCTTCTTGGGAAGATAAGAAAAAATGAGAAGTCTTGATAAAAATTTTGAGGGATAACATGATTTTTAGGAATATGCACAAAAGCAGCAGGAATATCACCTGGGATCAGAACAGCTACATTTAGGTCTTGCCTTTTATGTAGTTCTGAATAGAATTTGACCTGATAGTGATTGCAATGAAGCAAGATCAGTGGTGATTCACCAGCACTTCTGAGTGACACTTGTCAGAGCAGGATTATTTTCAGAGTGCAGTATAAAGGCCATCCTGCCAGGTGTCTCTTGATAGATAATGAATACGTAAATTTCCATTTGTCTTCTTAACATAGTTTATTACCTGACAGAAAAGGTGGGATATCTGATTAGTTGTGTGAAATACTGCTGCTGTCATAAGGTAATCTACCATATCAGCCAGCTCTGTGTATCTCATTCTGTAGCTGCAGTTCTCTAGAACTTGTCCTCAAATAAAATATCACTCAGCTGTCACACAAGACTCCGTTTGCCAAAATAGGCTGAAGTTTGTGTGCTGGTTATTAGAAATACTGTTATAACATCCAATTTCAATATTTTTTCTGGAAGGAAAATGCTTTGCATGGATAGCAATACCTATTGATCTCACTGCTGTATTATTTTGCTGTACAAGCCTAAGCTAAATACTGTGCAAATGAAGTGCAGTGTAAAACAGGTCCTCATAGCTCCTCTCTAGAACTGCATGCCTTAGCATCCTAAATTACACCATAGTCCCAGATACACAAGTAGGCACTTGGAAGTTGATAACCCTTCCTGTAAACAGTCTGGATTGCTCCAGATTTACCATACTGTTACTGTCATAAATGTGATTTTTTAATTTAAAAAATACTTGGCGGAAAATTCATTATTCTTCCTTTTCACTGTTATGAAAGCATGATTTTTTTTTTTGTTTGGACTGATTGTGAGGCCAATATATAGCAATGTGAAATACACAGTGCTATGCAATACACAAGGCTGTTTCTACTGAGAAATATATATTTTTTGTAAAGATTTAAATTTTTCTACTTTTATAGCAGTTGAAGATAACACTATTCAACAGTATTTTCAGAATAATAGGCTTCACAGTTGCACACTCCTCCTCAACTTTGAGCATATATACATATATATATTTCCTGTGCACTGTTTTTCCCCCAGTTTATTCATAATACGGTATTTGACACAGAGTAAAGTAAAAAAATAACATTTTTATAGCCCCTTGTCTGCTCTATACCCTCTGAGGCTGTTACTAATGGAAGCTGGGATAGACTTTAATCTGGTATACCTTGCATTTAAAACTGGTGGAGAAGAGGAACAAATATTTTCATTTGTTAACCTCTGTGGCATTTTAGTAGTTTGTAGCTGCTGTTAACTCAAAGTTCCCAGAAATAAGCCAAACTTGCAGGCAGTGGAACTGTGCTGGAAGCTGAGATAGCAGCTGAGTGCAGAGGGCTGTGGGAAAGCCAAGGGGCCATGGCAGGAGCTTTGCTCTATGCCTGCAGCAAAAAGGGATCAAGAGAAACCATGGGCACAGTTGCACTTCAGCCTGACTCCAAATCTCCAAGTAGCTGAAAATAGTTTTGTAACAGTTTTTGTAAGTTTCTTGAAATAATTACAAATCTGTGTGAGAAAAAGGTTGCTGGTTGCTGGTGTTGATGGCAAGGCAGGAGAGAGAAAGAGGAAATTAGTGTGTATGTTGTGGTTATAGGAACCCATATAAAATGGGAAATTGTTGGCTTGTTGAACAGAGTAAAGTGATGTCAGACAATGGTGATGACTGGTTACATTACCAGAACTATAGTATATGTTACATGAAATATCCAAATATATAGAAATATATGCAATAAACACAGTACTGTTGAGGTTTTACCTATCATGGTAAATATATGGAGATCAGCCTCTTAGTTAAATTGCCCAGATAAGGGGTTCATATTGCCCAGAGAAGCTGTGACTTCCATCCCTGGAAGTGTCCAAGGCCAGGTTGGATGGGCCTCTGAGAAACCTGCTCTAGTGGGCAGTGTCCCTGTCCATGGAAGGGGGGCTGGAATCAGATGGTCTTTAACGTCTCTTCCAACCCAAACCATTCTATGATTCTGTGATTCTATTCTTTTATATATATGGGGGTATATTTTTTTCTCTCTGACATTGCCCTTATTAAACTAATATTCAACATCATGATCTGTCTAAGACCATGCCCAAATATTTCAGTTTCATCAGTACAGAAGCTTCCTCTAGCTCAAGGCTGGGCTGTGGCTGCTGCAGCAAGCTGTAGCAAACCTGGTGCAACAGGCAGCTTCTTATTACTGTATAACTGTGTGTACTTTGGCTCCTGCTTTTATTTTCCCAAACAAAAACACACCAGAGTTCCTACAGACAGAGCAAATAGCTGACTCATCTCAGAGCATTGTTCTTTTTACTGGAATACAGTGTGCTGGAAAAATCAATGTGAGAGCTATTGATTTAAGTGGTAATCTGGAGAGGGACTCAGCTGGCCAACCAGATAACAGCTGAGCATGGTGTGCTTCTTAGTATTATATTACCAAACCTAATGGATGTCAAAGAGGTTTTCCATTTTACTGTCATAGATATTTCTTTCCTAACCTGCCACACTAGTGTTTAATTCCATACTGGCATGTACCATGCAATGTTGGCAAAAGTCAGTATCTGAATACTGCACCAAACGGATCCATCTTGTTTTCTGTTTGTTGTGATTCACCTCTTGTCACAGTTTTTTTCTATGTTTAGCCGCAATCTTAATAGAGGATTTCATCCTCAGTTCCCCTCCAGTTCCCCTCCCCCAGCATCACCTCCAGTTCTCCTCCTTGTGTCACTTTTTCTTCTGTTATTCATGGGGTTTTATGCCTGAACTTCAAATTTTCTCATCCTTTCAAGGTTTTCTTCTTCATATGTAAAGGTTAGCTTCAACCTTCCTACGAAAAATACCATAAAAATAACCACAGGAATGCTTTGCAATTTGAATAGTCACCAGTTTTGCCTTGGGCAATCTTTTCCAGTCAGTTCTCAATGTGTAAGGCCTTTTTTTCCTATTTACTAATCTGCTTCTTGTTCTTAATGACAAAACCAAGAAGAAATCTTTGATCCTTTTCCAAAGTAGATGTCCAGCTGTTTTAGCACAAAGGTCCGTCCATCCATCAAACACAAACAGCATCTTCAGAAATATCTTCATTATTCTGCTTGGTGTGCTAGAGGAGACCCTGGAAGTCCTGCTGGAGTCTCATTTTTTACCCCCACACTTGCCAGAGAAGTCTAAAATGGGATGATAACCCTTCCAGATAGAGAGTGACCAAGTGAAGGCATCTTAGTCTGCCAAGGCAGAAGTGGATTGCACTTACCCCAGGTAATGGTGCTTCCTTGGTGTCTCATTACCACTTGAAAATCAAAAGAGCACATTTGAGTCTCAGAGTTGCAGCTGCAGCTTTCCATGCCAGGGCACACTTCGTGCTGAGGCAGGTTTCCTTTCACCTAGGTAGTGGTGTTTTGTTTGGTAGCCCAGCTCATCCTTGGAAGGAAATGCAGACAGCAGTGGCAGGAAGCAAGGTTCACAAAGACTAACAGAAGAGAGCCTGAGCTGTTCCCAAACCTGCATTGCTCCCCAGAGGTTCCAAATCCCCACATTAGCTACAAGCCATTGCTATTAATACTAGTAGCTATTTAAGCACTATCAAGGTCTCCCCCTGTGAAGGAAGTGCACGTTCCCAAGTGATTTGAGGATTTCATTAGCAGTGAGTCTACCAGCCTGGATGTGCTGGATGTTAGAGAAATAGGAAAACTTCACCCATCTTAGTTCACTCTGCAAGAGGCTGTTTAGATCAGATAAGATCCTGCTAATTTCAGCAGGCTTTAAAGAATGTTATTGTAGCTGTCTGTGTTCACTGGACCATCTTTGCAGTGAGGAGCCATCAAATCATAATTAAAGTCATTCCCCACACAAGTAAGAGATACATTTGACTGTTTTTCTTCTCAGCCTTTTGGGAAATAAATGCTTTAAATTCCCCTCCTAATGTATTTTTCTTTGCATAAAAACAAAGGTTTTTTCCTGTGCTAGGCCTCAGCTACAAGATTTGAAATTGGATTAAATCAGAGCTGTTATAAATCTAAGGAACATTCAAAGACATTATTTTGGTTTGAGTCATTAAAACAACCAGAACTCACTGGCTTTTCCCAAAGTGTTCAGACCCAGGGATTTGATACATGCATAATTCTAGTATTTACAATGATGGTTGATATTAAATGAGCTCTTTCTAGCTCCTGCCATGAATTTCAGATGCTCTACTTGTTTAGTGCCTGCTTGTTCTTCTCTCCAAAGGAAACAACATGCAGAATAAATGATTAAAATCATGATGTCCCTCCTGAAATATGTAATTTATTAAAAGCAATTAGTACAGTATGTGGCCCTCATCCAAATTTGTAACCCCTTAGGCCAGCATGACGATGTCTGATGCATCTCATTACTTTGTGACTGAAGGTTAACAACGAACATGGGTAGAGTCTGGAGACATTAAAGATTATTGTTAGTATGGTGAGCACTGAGTTTGGAGCCCATGAGAATCATTGTGGAA